GCTCCGCAGTCGTTGCCACGTGGAGAGTCGTTGAGTGGAGTAGTTGTTGTTTCGCTCCTCGGTCGCTTCTGTCTGGCATTTCGAGTGGAACAGTATTGTTTTCCGTCCCCCTTGTGCTGCTGGTGGTGGCGCTGCTGGTGTTGTTGTTGGTGGGGTGCTGCTGTTAATGCTGATTGCTGCTGCCATTGGTTTTGGTGCTGATGCTGCTGGTGCTAGTGCCGGTGCTGTTGCTGGTGCTTCTAATGTTGCTGCTGTTGTTGCTGCTGGTGCGTTTGCTGATGCTGATGCTGCTGCTGGTGCTGCTGCTCGTGGTGCTGGTGATGCTGCTGCTGGTGCTGCCGTTGGTGGTGCTGCTGCTGCTGCCGCTGCTGCTGCTGCTGCTGCTGCTGGGGCTGCTGACGCTGCTGCTGGTGCTGCTGGTGCTGCTGCTGCTGCTGGTGGTGATACTGCTGGTGCTGCTGCTGTTGCTGCTGCTGTTGCTACTGGCGCTGCGAGCGCCCTGTCCGCACTCCGCTGCTGTCGCCGTCGCCGTCGACGTAGTCGTCGTCGTCGTCGTCGTTTGGGGAGGCGGGGCTGCCAATTGGGGAGGGTCCAGGGGGGGCTTCCAACTGGGGTGGTTCAAGGGAGTCGAGCGGGGCATGGGGGAGAGGGGGAGGGGCTTCCGGCCAAGCTAGGTGCGCTCGCGTCATATCTGACGTCGTACGCCTCCCTCCCATCCCTTACCATGGCGTAGATATCTTCTCTATTCGAACAGTCGAATGTCAAGCAGGGCAATCATCGCGAGAGGGTACGCGATGCATGCTAGAGCACGGCATGGTATGGCGTAGAAGAGTGCACGGCAGAGCGTAGCATGCCATAGCATGGCGTGGCATTGCGAAGTGAAGCGTTGCATCGCAAATCATTGCAACACAAAGCATGGCATCGCACAGCGGCGCAGAGCTCAACACCGCACAGGATGTCATGGCATGGCGCCGGGTTCCTTGGAGGGTAAGTGGATCGTCTTCGAGAGGTCTGCGGCAGTCTGGAGTCGTGGCTCCATGTCTAGCTCCTTGGGCTCCCCGAAAAGCTCCGCACAAAGCGGGGCTGATGGAGAGCACCAGCTGGCTCTGCTTTCAACATCGCCTTCTCAAAGCAGGAAGGGTGCTCCCGCTTGATACTTTCTGAAAGAAGGGGGAGGGGCTTCTGGCAGAAGTGGCAAAAGTGAAGCGGGCAGCAGCTTGTGGGGGGGGGGGGGCTTCGAACCGGGGAGAGGTCCAAGCGGGCAGGGCAGCTTGCGGAAATCGCAGGGGGAAAAGGGATTCGGCGGCCCCGCACCCGGCGCTGTCCCTCGTGGCGCGCCCTCTCGCAACTGGGATGCCGGCTGTGCGGCGTGCTCTGCCCGCTGTGAGCTCCCGGGGTGCGCAGGCTCTGCGGCCGCCCGGCGCACGAGGCGCCCACGCAGCGCCCCCGGGCGGGCACCGGGCGACACCTCGGCCGACCCACCGAGCGCAAGAAGCGCCCACCCACCTCCTCCTGCTCCTCCTCCTCCTCGTCCTCCTCCTCCTCCTCCTCCTCCTCCTCCTCCTCCTCGTTCGTCCTCCTCGTCCTCCTCCTCGTCCTCCTCGTCCTCCTCCTCCTCATCCTCCTCCTCCTCTTCCTGGTCCTCCTCCTCCTCCTGCTCCTCCTCCTCCTCCTCCTCCTCCTCCTCCCACGGGCTGGCACCGGGCGGAACTGCGGCGGACCCGCCCAGCGCACGAGGCGCCCTCGGGCGGGCGCCCGGCGAAGCTTCGGCGGACCCACCCAGCGCGGCGGGCCGACGGGCGGGCCCCGGGCGGCACCTCGGCGGACCCAGCCAGGTCCGCTGGGGGCCGCAGCGGCAGCCACTGCGTGCCAGCACTGCTGGGGGAGACGTGCTGTTCAACGTTGTCGGCCCCGGTGCCCTGGCCGGGCCCCGGGCCCGTTCCAATTACTCGGCGCGGAGATCCCCACGTGCGCGTCTCGTCTCCTGCCACTTTCCCCTGTGGGAGAGCTCGGGCATGGGCAAATCTGAGCGGGGCAGGTGCAAGGCCGATTGTGAGCGCTCCTCTTGGCCTTTCTCTGCCGCGCCCTATGCTGCTGCCTTCCGTTCTGTGCTGTTCTCTGCGGTTACCGCTACCCTGGCGCCTAGTGGTGGATGTCTGGCAGGGTGCCCCTTCAAGCTTCCAGGCGCGCAGCCCGACCCAAGCTTGCAACAACGCGGACGTTCTTCGAGTATGAGTACTGAGCATCAGAGAGCCTGCTCTTGAGAGGATCCGAAAACGGGCAACCAGGTATGAGTGGGCATGCTCGCGAGCGAACGCGTGAGCGAACACTGTTCGGGTCTGCGCATGTGAGTCGTCGATGCCTCGCAAGAAGTCAGCGGTGACGGTGCTTTCTTTGTGCGCCTCTAGTGTGGGCCCGCGTTGCCCGACCTCTGCGGGTCTCTGCTGCTCTCTGCTCTCTGCTGGGCTCTGCTGGCCTCTACTTGCGCCGCCTCGCCAACCCGGCGTCCAGGGTGGCCATGGCCCGCGGCGCTGTCGCAGAGGCCATCGCCCCGAATTGCTTCATCGTGCCAGGGCGCGGGGCTGGTCTGTCCTTGTCTGCGCTGGGCCCGGTTGTGTTCAGCTGGTCTGCTGGTCTCTGCTGGTCTGTGCTCTGCAAGACATGAGAAGCACATCTGAGCGCTTTGCTTGAGGCGATCCCGCAATCTGGGCGCGAACGGGCCCGTCGTGCACCCCCATCGGGGGGGAACCATTCGCAGTGGGGGAGGGGGGGGGACTCGGAGCCTGCAGCATGTACGGCAACTCTCCTTCCTGCAGCCCTCGATTGTCCCCCCCCCCCCCCCCGTTTGGCGCCCCCGCCCCCGTCAACGTCCACCCGAGCCTTGGGAGCCGATGTCTCAGGACTCCCACCAGCCACTGGGGGCCGGCGGGCGTGTAGCTGCTCGCGGGCCCCGAGGGGGGTCCACGGATGTCCCAGTTGGATGTTCGTTGTAAGCGGATCTCCCTGGGGCCCACCTGACCGACCTGTTCGACTCAAGCTCCCCTCAAGTCGACCGACGTTCGACGCGGCTCTAGGAAGGTTCCCAGAACGAGCACCCAATCCACATCGTGTACCCCTCGTCCCTGGGGACCCTGGGACCATCGGTTGCCCGGGCAGCGGATATGTGTACCCAATTAAATTATAGTTTCTAATCTGGCGCAGTAGTCACGTCAAATAAGAAATCGGCCTGCCGCCAAGTGCCCGACGGAAGCTTCTCAACCCAAAATTCCCCTACTGGCGCTGGGAGCTCACAGAAGCCCCCTGGTGCGCCTCGGGAAGCTCAAATCTCATCAACCAAGGGCCTCGTTTTTCCTTCACAGCACCTTATCGCATGTGTCTGCTGCGTACTGTACCCGTAGTCTCAAGTCGGGCATGCCCCTCAGGAGGCATCTTCAACAACAGTGACAAAAACAGTCTGGGGACGGATCGCCATCTTTTATTTTTGTTTCATATTTTTGATTGCTTTTGTTGCTCAAAAATCCGCCTGTAGGGGGACACGCCTGACCTAACCGTAGCCCCCTGGGGCAACGATAGGGGGGGGCAGGCACAGGGAGGTATGCATCGACCCCCAATCGCCCATACATCGCCGATGAGGGCCCGACAGCCCCAGCCTGCCCAGGAGGGTGCGGCTTCACCATCGGGGCCTATCGCCGATCTCTCGGCGATGTATCGCCGATTCCAGGCTGATGCGTCCCCCCCTTATGCCAGTCCCCTACTGTCGTTGCCCCATCAAGCCCCCTGGGGCCCGTGGCACGGCGGCTGCCCCCGGCGGGGGACACGCGCAGGGCTCCGTCTCGGCCCCCGCGCCTCCCGCCGCCGCCGGTGCCGCCCACGCGCCCGCAGCGGCGCTTTCGCGCACCCCGCCGCCGGTGCTGCCCCAGCCGAGCTCCAAGCAGTGGCGAAGCGTCCTGGCGTGCCTATAGGCTTACCAGTGCTCTGAGAACCTTTTGTGGTTTCCACGAAGTGCTCTCGGAACATTTCTGGCTGGGACTGTCGTGTGTTCACACACAGGGATCATGTTCCAAGAACATGTCTGGGTTCCAAAAACAGGTCGTGCTAGGCCTATGGAAATGCCGTGACGGTCGGTCCCTGCTCAAGAGCTCCTGTCCCAGGGCCGCCAGGCCACCATCGCCCAGGCGATCGCAAGCATGAATCAAGGGGCGTGGATCAGCGACGGGTCCCGTGTCCATGGGAACTCGCGGATTGTCGCCGCCGAGCGAGGCGGCACTGGCCGCATTTTTGGGAGGGCACCTCCCCCGATCCATGGATTTGGCGACCGCGCGCCAAATCTCGCGCGGCCAAGCTTCGAGGCCTCGACCGACCCCCCCCAAAAAAAAGCTCATGCACATACACTCTGGGCGCTCCGCGCGGTGCTGCGCGGAGCATCAGCAGTTTATGCTTATGCCGTTTTTTCCTGCTCTGTTCGAGGGGAAACCGGTGCCGGGGAAACTGCCAGGGAGACCGTGCGGGCGCTTGGTATCAGCTGCGTACCACGGGGTTCGGCTCCGACGCTGGGCCCATCTTCTCTCGATGTGCACAGGCGCCCCCTGGCGTTTCGAAGCGCTTGCGCTTGCCTCGAGGCGTTCGCAAGAGCACCTCACCATCATACTCGCCGAGATTTTGCCGAGACTAGGGGCTGGGAGAGCGGCAACTTCTTGCTGGGGACGCAGGTCATTGGCCAAGTCTGACACCATTTTGTCTTTCTTATTCGGTGACGTCGCACTTCGACTCCTGAGGGTTTCGCCTAGGGTCCTTCACTTCACCTCACCATCATCCTCGCCCCCTCCCTCAACAGACCTCCGCAGCCGCTTTTTGGCCAAAGTAGGTGCTGCGCTCGCTACCCAAGGCATCCGACGACCTTGTGCTTGCCGCCCGCGGCCCCAGAGCCTCCCGACCCGTCCCTTTGTACCAGACTGGCCTCTGCTGGCCCCCCGGGGGGCCCGATATCGTGGAGCCCGGAGGCCCGGCTCGAGGGCAGCTCGCCAGTCGAGGCCTCCTGGCATGTGTCGTCGGATGCTTGGGACGCCGAGATCGGAGAGGGCAGGTGCCCGGAGCAGCCGAGGCCCGCCGCCAACCATATGGCCGCCGCGCACGCCTCCCCCGCAGGAGCGGCGGCCGCGCCCTGCCGCCCGGCCTGCGGGCCCGCCGCCGGGGCCCCGCGGGCGCGGCCCGAGCCGCCCGCGCAGCGGCCGGGCCAGGGCACGCCCCGGCAGGCGGCCGGCGGCGCGCGAGGGGCAGACAGCCCCCGCGCCCCGAAGGACCGGGGCCCCCTCGCGCTGTGAAGAAAACAAAAACGACGGGGAGCTTCTGCGAAGGATTGCAAAAAAGGATTGCAAAAAAACCCTTGGTTCGAAGGATTGCAAAAAACCCTTGGTTGTTTTTGCGAAGGATTGCAAAAAAGGTTTTTTTTTTTTTTTTTTTTTTTTTTCAATTCTTGGATTTTTTGCAAATATATTTTGTCGGCCTTTTCGGGGGCCCTTGCTGGGCCTCGGGGCCGTCGACGGCCCCGAGGCCCGGCAAGTGCCCCCGGAGGCCGACAAAGAAGAAGACTTGATCAAGAGGCGACTCAGGATGAAGAAGGGGTCCCGGGGAAGGGGTCCGGACCTCTCAGTTGCGTGGCAGCCGCTTTTGGCAGCCACGCTGCCCACTCTTCCCGCCTAGTCTCTGTCTCTGCCGCGATTCGCCACGGAGTGCACGGGTTACTGGAGAGTTGTCGCGGTCGCTCCTTCTCCCCCTCCAGAAAAAAAAGACCTCTGGGGTCGACTTTGCGAAAAAAACACGACGCCGAGGGTCTGGGAGAGGAGCGACATGCTCGGCGCTCGGTGTGGTCGTCGGCGCTCGGCGCCTCGGGCTGCCTTCCGATGCATATGCGCAGCGCCGAGGGCGTTCATGGGGGTGCCCGGGTGGTCTCGAGCGGTCGCTGGGAGCTTGAGTTGTTGAGGCCCCGGCAGCGAAACTTTTCTTCGCGTCGTGGAAAAATTGGCGGTTGGCTTTCTTTCAACCCCTGAGGGCCCTCGCCGGGACCCAGGACCAACCCAGGATGGGAAGCGGGCCCTGGGGTCAGGATCTGCATGTCTGGGGGGCCCGCAGTGACAAAGTCAAGGCCGCGCCTGTCTGGGAAGAGCGGCCCTTCTCCAGGGTGCCCTTTGGTGTGCGCTCCTTCTGAGGGGGGCGACCGGGTGGGGGGGAGTAAACCCACACCTTGGGGCCACTGCAGACAAGATTCTTGGGATGCGGGCCGCTACAGTGCCGTTTTCAATACATGCTCCGCGTGCGGATCATGTATTAAAATGCAGGGATTTAGCATTCAAAACAACGATGAGTTCATGCATACATTCATTCATACGTTAATCATGTATTAGAAATTATATATTTTTAAACAACAATCCAATGCATTAAGAACTGCCCTGTACTTGGGCCCCGCAGGGGCTCTGGCTTGGGGGCCTTGCCTCAGATCCGGGGTCCAGGACGGGGCACCTGGTCGCGGCCTGGGCTCGCCGTGGCCAGAGCAAGAAGTCCTTCACGCCTTGGCGGCAGTGCGATGGCTGCACCGCCGCAGCGCCTGCGGCAATCCGCAAAGGCCGCGCACCGAAGGCCACTGCTGCCCTGATATTTATTTAATTCTTATATTTATATATATATATCTATATATAATATATATATATATATATATATATATATATATAGGGGGGCATTCCAAAATGGCCTTGCCTTCCAGGATAGAAAGAGATGTCATCTCTTCCGCCGCGGAAGGCGGCGGAAGGACGGCGGAAGGTCGGCGGAAGTAAAACGAGGCCGCCTCCGCCGGCGGAAGCCGGCGGAAGATCGGCGGAAGGCGGCGGAAGTAAAAGATGTGCCTCCGAGAGATAAACATGCTTTTGGGTTCTCAGGATTTGCGAAATCGCCCATATACATGTGTGTGTATATATATATTTATATTCTTCCTATATTTTTATAAGCCCGGGCGGGGGGGAAAACCCGTCCCCCCCCAAAAAAAAACCGGACTCCCGGGACCTGGGGCTTTGGAGCCCTCCGAACGGGCCTCGAAGCGGCCACAGGGCCTCGCAAGGCGTTTTGCCAAGCCTTCCCAGCACACTTAGGGCGATCAGGGGGGTCATCGGAGACGTCCCAAAGACCCCCAAGACAGCACAAGAGCCCTCCAAGAGTGACCGACGTGACTTCAAGATGGCCCAAGAGGCCTCCAGGACGGCCCCAAAGAGGCCTCCAAGAGCACTCCCAAGAAGCCCCCCCGAGGCACAAATCATTGATTTTCTGTGGGTTTTTGGTGAATTTGGGGGTTCTCCTCTTTTCGGCTTCCCGACGCTCCAAGACGGCGGTCTTCTGGGCGTCCGAAGCCGCCTGGGAGGCTCCCAAATCGCCCCACAACCATCCGAAAGGGCTTCCAGGCAGTCCAAGAGAACCCCAAAACGGCACAACACGGGTCCAAGATGGCGCTCAGAGAGCCCCATGGCGGCCCAAGATGGCCCAAAGACACCCTCCGAAGAATTCCAAATCGTGATTCGGTCGTTCAGGGAGACGGCGGTTAGAGGCAGGGTGGCCCGAGGAAGCCCCCGGAGGCCCCCAGAATACGCCCAGGAGGCCTCCAGAAGGCCTTAAGAAAACCCGAAACAACTTTTGTGAGGTCCCTAGAGGCTCTCCAAGGAGGAGCCTCCGCAAAAAAGAGCTGAGGAGGATGGGGAGAATGCGCAGGGTATGGCGAAAATAAAGAACAATTGTTGACGCTTCGCGTATCCCCACCAGCCCATCCAGAAACGATGCTCAGGGGAGTTGAGGTGATCAGGGAAGTCGGGGAGCATGCAGAATAACAAAGGGCGGGGGAAGCTGTCACAGACCCCGAGAGGGGGAGGATGGAAGAGGAGTCGTCGTCGTCGTCGTCGTCGGAGGAGGAGGAGGAGGAGGAGGGGGAAGAGGAGGAGGAGGAGGAGGAGGAGGAGGACGGAGAAGGAGGAAGAATCGGAGGAGGAGGAGGAGGAGGGGAAGGAGCTTCTTGGGGGTCTTTTGAGGGCCTCTTGGAGGGCTTTTTGGGCGCCTTGGGGCATCTTGGGCGCCTCTTGGGACCCTCTTGAGGCGCTCTGGGGAGCCTTCGGGGCGCTTTTGGGGCCATCTTGGAGGGAGTCGATCAAACAAGAGGGGGGGTTTAATTAGCGTCCCCCCTCGGAAGCCCCTAAAATCGCCTCTTGGACCCCTCTTGGAACGCTCTTGGAGTGCTCTTGGGCGCTCTTGGGGCCGTCTTGGGGCTCTTTTGGGGCTCTCTTGGGGCCCTCTTGGGCCATCTTGGAGCCATCTCCAGGCCTCGGATGGCCATCGGAAGCGAAAAGGCGAGAAAGCAAAAATCATTGATTTTCCTTAGGTTTTGGGACGATTTTGGCCTCTTCGGGGCCTCCTTGGGGAGCTGTTTGGCCACTTGGAGTTATCTTGGGGCCGTCTTTGGGCTTCTTGGAACCATCTTAGGAGCCATCGTGAGCGATCTTGCGCTATCTTGAGCCATCTTGGAGCTCATCTTGGGTTCTCTGAGGCGCTCTTGGAGCCGTCTTGGGCCATCTTGGACGCTCTAACTACCCGCGGCCCCCCCCGTCCAGGTCCAGGGGAGGGGGTAGGGGGAGGGGTAAACCCCTCCCCAAGGGGGAAGAGGGAGGGGTGGAAGAGGATCTGCTCTAGACCACCTACGCCCAGAGGGCTGGTGGGATAAGCATGGAGGAAGGTTGAAAAGGCAAACAGGAGTTATCGCTAAATTGTCGGCTTGACTTTCCTGCCATTCCGCCTGCATACCAAACTTCAAGGACCAAGGTGCATGGCGCGAAGCGCCACTGCAGTCTTGTATATATATATATATATGTATCATGTTGTCAATCCGTGGCCCCAGAGGTACCGACCCCTTGCCAGGGGCAAGTGTTTCCCGTCAGATCCGTTTTTGGTTGTCCCTGGGGCCCGAAAGCGGCACCGGAGGACCGAACTCGAGGACAACCTTCTGGATTGAAAGCGTATCGTCGGAGGTCTCGGTGTATGGCTGGGAACTGTGGCTTAGCGTGTCGCGGCGCTGGTTCTGGCCCACCGCGCTTCGGCGTACCACACACCGTCCCAAGCCTCTCCTATCCTACCGCCCCGCAGAGCGGAGCGATAGGCTGTTCGCTTGCAGGACATAGCGTGTCGCTGGGGCCGCCGCCGCGACACGCTAAGAGGGCGCTTTACTTTAGAATCAGGCAAGTCTACTTGCATGGCATTCCACCCTCCCCCCCTCCGCTGCCTTTTCAAGCGGCGCTGGGCCATGAAGGCGTGCAAGCGTGTCCCGCCTTGCGTGAGGTTCAGATTTCCTCGCGGGCCTCGCCACGCCCCCCCCTTATCGGGGGAAGGAGAAGCGACGCCACCACCACCAGGGGAGCCACCTCCAGCGAGGAGGTACACGAGGCCTCCCCGAGCTGGGGATCGGGGTTGTCTCGAGCGAGAGGGGGGACCATACCACCACGGGGACCTCCTCTGGCTCCTCCCGCTGGTGGTCGCTGGTGGTGGTGCCGCTTTTTCCTGTTCCTGCGCCTCCATGCAAGTCAACTTGCTGGAGTCTGAAGACAGGCAGCCTCTGAGCGAAAGTGCCCAGCCGCACGGGCCACTCCCGGGTGCGGCCGATGCAGGCCCGCCCAAGCACGCGCGCGGCGGCGCCGGCAGCAGGGCGCGGCCCCGCGGCCCCACGACCCGCGGCGAGGCCTCTGGCCGGCCTCGGCGAGGGCACCCCGCCGCCCAGGGCGGCCCTGCAGAGCCCGCCTGGCGCCCCGCGAGGGCGCAAGGTTCGGATCGGACGAAAGTCGGGGGCCCCCAAACGGAGTGACCAAAGAAAGGATGTGTCCGCACAGCGCCGATTGCCTCTTCTCCTCTTCCTCCTCCTCCTCCTCCTCCTACCCCTCCCTCCTCCTCCTCCTCCTCCTCCTCCTCCTCCTCGTTCCTTTCTTCCTCCTCCTCCTCCTCCTTCTCATTACTCATCGAGCCTGCTGAGTCTTGCGATTTTAGTGGCAGTGTGATTGGATTCGCATCGCGAGCTGACGGGTAATTTGTGTGTGTGTGTGTGGCGTGATGAAGGCTGCGCTTCGTGGTGTAGAAAAATACAGTGTAGTGACCACACCGTGTCGTCAGCCAGTGGGGATCCGGAGTGTTCGCACGGTTTGGGGACTCGCGTCGTTCTCTGAGGATGTCTCGGGCGACTGGGTCTTCCAGGGTCCCAAACCGCGCGGTGGCAGACCGTGCGCGGTGAGGTCTTTCAGGATAACGAGGTCACCACACGGTCTGTCACCACACCTTCCCGGGACTCCCAAAAAAGGAGCGTGGAAGGCCAAGGGCCACGTTAGGGGGGGGATGGGCTCAGGGGGGCGAAGTGTGGGGTTCGACGCTCCGGTTTTCAGGTGTTTGCGTGGGCTCTCGGTGGTCTTCCAGCCGCGACATCCTTTCCAGCAGCTGCGCCTCGCGAGAGCGTTCTGGGGGTGCCCAGATCCTCCCGAACGGCGGCTGGGGACCCGAGTTATGACCCAACACTACCTTCTTCGCGCCGTAAAGAGGTCGCGACAGAAGAGGCTTTTGGCCGTTTTCAGGCTCCAAGATTTTTTTCGGGGCCCCGCGGCCGTCAGATAATTACACGGGATGAACAGCCAGGCCCCGGGACGGGCTCTCGACCTTTCAGGAATCACGTTGTGGGGGCTACGTTATCAGGGGCACTGGTAGGGGGGGGATGGGCACAGGGGCGATGCATCGACCACCAAAAACCGACTGACCGTCGATAGGGGCCCGATATCTCACCCTGCCCAGGAACGTGCGAATTTGCTATCCGGGGCCTATCGCCGATCCGTTCGCGACGTATTTATCGCCGATTCCATGTCAATGTTTCCCCCCTGTGAGGCAGGGACAGGGAGGCGGGGGTGCGACACCTGTTGCGCGCACGGAGTGCCTTCCCTCGATGCGTTGGCGCCTGCCGTGCTGGGAGGCGCCAGGGAAACCAGCTGCGTCGGCTGCTTCGTCAACGCTCCCTTTGGGAATCTCCACCTTCGAGCAATGGCGAAGCGTCCTGCCGTGCCTACAGGCCTACCAAACAATGTTTTAAGAACCGTTTGTGGTCTGGACGACATGTTCTTAGAACATCTCTCTGGCCGGGGCTGCCGTGTTTTAACACATCGGGTTTATGTTCTAAGAACATTGTGTTCGTTCCTAGAACATTTTCGGGTTCTAAGAGCATTTCGTGGTAGGCTTATAGGAATGCCGGGACGGTCGGTCCCTGCTCAACACCTGCGTCCGACCCGAAAGGTGCCGGTGCCCGTCGCCCCCGCGCTGTCCGCCAAGGACCGGCGGTTGCCAGAGGTGGTCCTGCTGGCCCAGGGTGTCTCCTCCGCTCGTCCGTCCATGTTGGAGCCCCACCGGGGCCTTCTGAGCTTCGGGAGGTGTGCTCGGGAGGCCACGGGGGCCGCTCCGGAAAGTCCTGGGTACACCTCGGGCCAGGGGCGCCTCGGGCCAGGGACACCTTGGGCAGCGCCAGTGAGGAGCTCGAGGAACCGCAAGCTTCTATGAATGTATGAATTTTCAGGGGCCCGCGCGAGCTGAAACGGCACGGCACAGCACCACCGCTGTCGACGGAGCGAGGGTTCGAGTGTGCGGGCGCGGCCCTGTGGACTCGTGCCTGCCCATCTTCGAAGTCTGGACTGGTGCTTGCCCGTCTTCGAAGAAGAACAAAGTCATAAACAGAAGCTCCCGGGGGTCCGCGTGGATTTCCAGGATCGGCGCTGGGCCCCCCTTCCCTGGCGCTGGCGCGCGAAGCGCGCCAGGGGCGGGTCTGGAGGCGCCGCCAGGGGGGATCCAGCGACGATCCATGAAATCCGCGCGGACCTCCAGCAGTTTACGCTCTTGTCGTCTTTTGTTCCCATAGGAGTTTGCTGCCATGATGGAGGCGGACATTCACGACCTCCTCGGCTTCCCATCCATTCCGGACCGTGTCATCCCCTTCCTTCCCTCCCCCGACCCAACCCCTCACGCGCCAGGACACTATTGCGCATCCTACCCCTTTCTCCTCCTCCTCCTCCTTCTCCTCCTTCTCCTCCTCCTCCTTCTCTTCCCTTGCCTCCTCCTCCTCCTCCGCCTCCTCCTCCCGTGACTCCTCCGAGGACGTCGCTACGATGATGAAAGCGGACGTCCACCTCCGCTTCGACCTCCCGTCAGTGTCGGCGTCGCCGCCGCCGTCGTGGGGCATCCCCTGCGGTCCCTGGGACGGCATGCTGAGCGCGTCGGCCGCCCAGGCGGGAGCGTGAGGTGCACGATGCTCCCTCGCAACATGGCGGGGGGTCGAGTGTGAGGGCGGGGAGGTGGCGGCGAGCGTATTCCCAGACCTGCTCGAGTCTTGACAGCACCAAGACGGGAGGTTTGCTCTTGTCGTTCTCGGCCTTCGGGGGCCCTCGCCTCGCCCTGGGACCGTAGCACAACCCGCGGGACTGGGTGGGGGCGTCCTGGGCCCCCGTATGGATTATACATCGACCGCGCCCTCGCAGTCTGGATCTCCGAGGCGAGATCCCGTGGATGCGCTGTCGCATGGGTACGCTCAGCGCGGGGCAGCCGGTACCAAGACGCCCCGTATCCACGGGGTCGCGCCCCAGGGGCCGACCCCGCGAGGCCGTGGGTACGGATGCTGGTGCTGGGAGTTGTCAGCCGAGGGCATCGATACGCCACCACGTAGACGTGCCCTCTGCGTGCGTGAGCTGGCCTGGAGTAGGAGGGCCACTCCGGGCAAGGCGAGATTGGGGCTGGACGCCGTCCTCGAGATCGAGTGATAAGCCTCCGATGCCAGGGGGTCGTCGGTGTTCTGGTAGGGCCACGCGGCGTAGGCGTCACACCGTGTGACTTCAGTATCAGCGCGTACAGCCTGATGGGTTCAAGCTGCATTCTTTTCAATTTCGATTTGCGCGCGCACTGGAGGCGCTTTGGCGGTCTGTGTTACAAGAGTGAGCACACCGATGCCATCAGCGCTGCCAGGGAGTTTTGTCCCTGAAGTCGCCAGTTTTTGCACTGCTCAGACAAGCGAAGGGTTGGCTTGCCTGTTCCAGCGCGATGCTGGACAATGAAGCGGTCGGCTTCCGAGGATTTGGGCGCATCGCCCAGATACGCCTCGGTCAAGTACTGAATCAGCTGAAGGCCATGCACTGCGAAGCCTGTCTCGGGTATGGGTGGAGGGCACGAAATGGGAGCTGACACAGCACGACACAGGAACGCGATTGATGACCGAACGATGGTTCGGATGTGCGGGCGTGGCCCTCCAGATTTGCATTTTGTCCATCTTCGAAGAAGAGCGAAGTCATAAACATAATTTCGGAGGTCCGCGCGGATTCTATGGATCGGCGCTGGATACCCCCTGCGACAACCCTAGAGTCGCTCCTGGCGCGCTCCGCGCGCCAGTGAGGGGGGTCCAGCACCGATCCAAGAGATCCGCGCGCACATTCACCAGTTTATGCTTACGCAGTTTCCTCTCTTATTCTGCGTTTTGGTCGTCGCTGGCCGACTAGGCCCACACGTTCGGCCCTGCTCTGGGTCTGGTAGTGGTTCTCCCTCCCAGGAGTCCCCGGGCGTTGCCTGCACCAGACTCCTTCTGCCTGTCTATTCGTCTTACGCTTGAAAGTGCCGGCGGGGAGGAGGAGGAGGAGGAGGAGGAGGAGGAGGAGGAGGAGGAGGAGGAGGAGGACCAGTGTAAACCCAAGAGTCATCAACGATGTTGGAAGTAACCCTCCCTCCAAGCTCCCCCTTCATAGGCCCCTACAACGGTTCATTGCCATTGAGGGAACTGCCTCGTTGGAAGACAACTGATTGAAGACCTTGAAGCATGCCAAAACATTGTTCTCGGGATTTCCACGCTACGGATCAACCTGACTGCTGCGTCCTGACGATCTGGAATCGTGCCAGAACGTCATCCGTGCGACTTCAACACCGCGAATCAACTTAACTGCTGCACTTGCATAATCCCGAATCCGTCCAAGCACAATTTCTGGTACGCTGCTCATGGGGATCTATGAACCACTTGCAAATGTTTACAACGAATGTGCGCGGTGCTAATGCGAGCCACATTTTGGAAAGGAACCGCCCCCAATCCGTGAAGCTCTTGCAAATATTTACAACGAATGTGCGTGGCGCTTAGGCGAGAACCACATTTAAAAACCGATCCGCCCTCAATCCGTGGAGATCTTGAACATGTTTAAAACGAATGTGCGCGGCGCTAAGGCGAGAGCCACAGTTTGAAAAGGAACCGCCCTCAATCCGTGAAGCGCATGCAAATGTTGACAACGACTGTGCGCAGCGCTTAGGCGAGAGTCACATTTTGAAAACGATCCGCCCTCAATCCGCGAAGAGCTTGAACATGTTTAAAACGAATGTGGGCGGCGCTAAGGCGAGAGCCACATTTTGAAAACGATCCGCCCTCAATCCGTGAAGCGCTTGCAAATGTTTAAAACGAATGTGGGCAGCGCTAAGGCGACAGCCACATTTTGAAAACCATCCGCCCTCCATCTGTGAAGCTATTACCTTGTTTTAGCTTCAGAGTCATAGATGGTGAGGATTTCTCAGGCGAAACGCCCAGCCCCCCCTAAAAAGTAGCCTCGGGGTGCGACAGGGAGAAGTTATTTACAAGGAAAAGGAAAGGAGGAGGAGGAGGAGGAAAGGGAGGAGGGGGAGGGACCTTTAGCATCCAGGCGACGCCAGAGACTCGAGAATGTCTGTTTTAAACGCTTTCGGCCCCTGGAGGCCATCTCCTGGCACAGGGAAACCCAACAAAACTGCGCACTCAGGATGAACAGCCGGTCCTGGGGAAGGGGTCGAGATCCCCAGGGGGGGCATGCCACTAAAAGGTGTGACATCAGATGCGAGACGAGGACGGAGAGGCCCTCTGTTCGGAGTCTGCGAGCGACCGAAGGCAGGCATGTGGCATGTGTCAAGCTGTAGGTGCGGAGTGAGGCGACAACGCAGAGCGTCTTCGCTCAAGTAGGCCTTGCGCACGTGCGCGTGTGCTTGTTTTGTTCCTCCTAGGACCTAGGCCGGGAAGAGATCGCTACGAGAATGGGAGTCGTCCCGTTGGGAACAGACCGCCACCCTCAAGGGGGCGCGATTTCCCCAGCCTGGGAGTAGCCCATGGCCTCGGCTGGTGGCTTCGTCTATGTAAGTCTCCCTGCCCTGCAAGCCGACGCGGCTGGATGTGGGCCAGGAGCTAGGAGTGCACGCAATGCTAATGCACGAAGGCAGCGCTCAGCGGTAGGAATCTCACTCCCACTCCCGTCGGAGGGCGCCAAACCACACACCCAAACCGATCCTGGGCCCAGGATCGGTGTATGTGCCTCCTGGCCAAGCCAGGGCCAGGATCGGTTTAGATGTTTAGTCGGCGCCCTCCCATCCCCATCTCACCGATCCAGTTCCATCGTCGTAGTTACTATCTGCTTCAGCGCTACCGTCCCAGCATCGCGGTATGTTCGCCGGGGGTCAGGCATACCAGTGTTTCGCTGCTTCAGCCCGCCAGGGGTGCCGGCGCGGCTGGAGGCGCTTCCGCTTCTCACGCCAGGGCGACGCGGGCGTCGCTCTGGCCACAACCGGAGCACACCACAGGAGTATGAGCATTGCCCTTCGGAGGCTCCCGCGGACCTCTCGGGTCGGCGCTGGGCCTCCCCGGCGGCGGCGTTCCGCGCTCGAGGGGGGCCCCAGCCCCGACCCGAGAACGCCGCACGGAGCTCCAGGAGCTCGTGCGTATGCCGTTGTTGGTGCCTCGGCGCAGGCTGTCCCGTGCGCGCGGGCGGGAGGCGTGGCCGCGGAGTGAGTGTTGGGCTGGCTCCGCGTTTTCCGACTTCCCCGCCCGCGAGTCCCAGGCTGGAGGGTCCCAAAAAGAGGTTTTTTGGGGGAGGGGGGGTTCTCCAGAGAGCCCCCCCCAGGAGCTTCGGAACCTCGTCAAGACAGGAGATATACGGAGCCCCTGGGGGACCCCTCCTGGCACACCCCTCCCCCGGAGGCCCCTTCGGGAACCCTCCGGCCACATGCGCCCTCGCGGCGCGCAGCCGCGCGGCGCTGCCGTGCTGCCGTGAGCGCCACCCTCTGGCCCACTGGGCACGCGGGCACGGGATCGGCGCACTGTGCCTTTGGCCTTTGGATTACGTCGGGCCTGTCCCTCTACAGGGGGAATATCAAAAAATAGTTAAAAAAATACTCTGGGGACGATGTGTTATATTTTTCAGTATGTTTGAGCATGTTCTGGATATTTTTTATTTTCCGTCCAAAATCCCCCATGTAGGGGGACACGCCCGACCTAACCTTTCGCTCGGGGATCGCTCCTCGGCGGCTGGCGCCGGCGCTCTGCGGCACGGGTGCGCGGGGGGGAACTTGTGATCGGCGCCTCTGGACACGGTCCGACGCGGAGTGATCAAGCCACGGGGAAACACAGAGCCTCGGGGCACGGAGGGGGGGCAGCATGAGGGGGCAGGGGAAGGAGGAGGAGGAGGAGGAGGAGGAGGCGCAGCGGCATCATGAGGAGACTCTGAGACTTTCCCAACGCCACGCCCGTCTACCACATCCCGCAAGCAGACCCACGTTCAATCATTCTGCGGCTCAGGAAACCGGACGACTCAGGCCACGCGGAGGGCATGGCGAGGGATGAGGGGTGGAGTGATGGGGGGAGGGTGACATATTCCTCCAGTTGCTTGAAGTGTCCAGGCTTTTCTTCCGTGCCGAAAGGTCCCCGAGATGCAACGTTTTGTTCCCAGCCCTCCTGCGTTGGGCACTCGTTTTGAACAGAGCCCTGCGGTCGCGACCTGCCTTGCCGCCCTCCCCTCTTCTCTCTTCCCTGCTACGTCTACCTCGCTGCGTCCTGCCAGCCAGCTTGCCTCCTCCTGCCTGGGCATCTCTGTGGGGCTGTGATCTGCGACACTGTCGCCCCTCTCGAGGGCTGCTCGGGGGTCCAGCGGAGTGGGGCACCACCCAGACTCAGATTAGACCTCGCCATCCCTGGGGGGCTGCGATCTGCGACACTGTCGCCACTTTCGAGGGCAGCTCGGGGGTCCAGCGGAGTGAGGCACCACCCAAACTCACATTAGACTTCGCCAGCCCTGGGGGCCTGCGATCTGCGACACTGTCACCACTTTCGAGAGCTGCTGGGGTGTCCAGCGGAGTGAGGCACCACCCAGACTCAGATTAGACTTCGCCATCCCTGGGGGAGTGCAATCTGCGACGCTGTCACCACTTGCGAGGGCTGCTGGGGACTCAGCGGCGTGAGGCACCACACAGACTCAGATTAGACCTCGCCATCCCTGGGGGGCTGCGATATGTCAATATGTTGCCACTTTCGAGGGCTGCTGGTGGGTTCAGCGTGGTGAGGCACCACCCAGACTCAGATTAGACTTCGCCATCCCTGGGGGAGTGCAATCTGCGACGCTGTCACCACTTGCGAGGGCTGCTGGGGACTCAGCGGCGTGAGGCACACCTCGCCATCCCTGGGGGGCTGCGATATGTCAATATGTTGCCACTTTCGAGGGCTGCTGGTGGGTTCAGCGTGGTGAGGCACCACCCAGATTCAGATTAGACCTCGTCATCCCTGGGGGGCTGCGATCTGCGACAGCGCCACCACGTTCGAGGGCTGCTGGGGTGTCCAGCGGGGCGTTGTCGCGGGCCGCCCGCAGACCTGGCGGCGCGCCTTCGAGCGTTTAGCTCCCGCATTTTAAAGTGCAGGTAGGAAGCGGGGAAGCTGGCGGGCGAGCCAGGCCTCGCTCGCTTCTTGCGTTCACCAGAAGCAGGTTGAAGCATGTTGTTGGGCGCCGCGGCCACATGGCGCAGGCAGCGCTGCATCTTCGCCGAATTACCAACAAAAACAACAACAACAACAACAACAACAACAACAACAACAACAACAACAACAACAACAACAACAACAACAACAACAATCATTTTACCCTCATGCGCCATGCTTCCACATGACACATGCATCCATCTGGATAACACACCCCATCATGGGGGATTTTTCTGGCATGCGGGATCCGATATTCCCTCACCCAGATATCCCGCCCAAGAAGGTTTGGCCACCACCTCTTCCGAGGAACTTCAACATCCATAGCTCGGACGGCACATCGCCTTCGCAATCGCCTTGCGCATGCCCCGCATCTCATAGGGAGAGGAAGAGGAAGAGGAGGGGGAGATGAGAGAGATAGGGAGGGGGAGGAG